ACATGGCTGTCCCAATAAATTACTATTACCAATGAAACAGACTTTAAAGAAGTTGTGTTTTACAATGCAGAGAGTGGAGGATGCTTTTTATACATTGGTGAGAGAGATCCGACAATACAGATTGAAAAAAATCAGCAAAGAAGAAAAGACTCCTGGCTGTGTGAAAATTAAAAAATGCATTGTAATGTAATCTGGTAAGTTCAGCATATTAATTTTGGCAGAAAGCATATGTTTTTCATAGCTAACAAAGTAGCAACCACTTGAAATCTACCTTGGTGTGGGATTCTAATTTGAAGTATTAAAAAAATAAGAAACTTGTAGTTTGCTTCCACAGTCAATACATTTATTTTTAATCTAATTGGGTATTAATTATAATTGAGGCAGTTTTTTGATGGCTATAGACTACTCTACATTTGTCAGGGTCTTGACATGCTGGACCATGTAGAGCAGTTGAATGGCCCAGAAGATGGGAAAGGATCACTCACATGTTCTTTTGGACGTTCCACAGGCAGGTACTTATTCTGTCTCTGCTCTCTTAACTTAGTAACATCAGCATCACTTCTTTACCCAAGTGAGAAACCTGGGAGTCTTGGGATGACTCCCTGTTTTTCACATCCATTTGGAGGCAACCACGAATTCCTGTTACGATGTTACACTTTTAACTTTTTTTTTTTGGCTGTGCTGGGTCTTCGCTGCTGCACACAGGCTTTTCTCTATTTGCGATGAGCGCAGGCTTCTCATGGGCTTCAGTACTTAACGCTCGTGGGCTCGGTAGTTGCCACTGCTGGGCTCTGGAGGACAGGCTTGATAGCTGCGGCACACAGGCTCAGTTGCTCCATGACATGAATCTTCCTGGATCAGGGATCAGATCTCCATCGCCTGCCTGGCAGGCAGATTCTTTACGACTGAGCCACTGGGGAAGCCCACATTCTACGTTCATCACGTCACTAGTTCAGACTTATTTCTTGCTGGGATTGTTGAAACCTCTTACCTGGTTTACCTTTGGCTGCCTTCATTCACAGTGCAACCAGAAAGAGAGACTTAAAAGGTTTCATAGCATATATATGGCTCCTTAACACCTTCCTTCCCCTCTCACCTTTGGTTTTATGTCTAAAAAACTCCTTGACTGAACTTTTTTGTCCTCATGTAAATCAGCACTGTGTTATTTCTTACCTTCTCTTAAGTCTTGGCTGTTGCTCTTGTTTGGAATGCTAGTGTTCTTATCCCCTAGTTTTACTAGTTAACACACTTTCATGCTTGTCTAATCTCCCATTCTCTAAGAATCTTTCTTTAAACCACCACTAGACTGAGCATAATGCCCTTCTTGTGTACTCCCAGTTTATTGCTCTCAACTGTTACACACTTACCATGTTAAAGTGAAATAACCTATGTTTGATTCCTATACAGTAAGAATTTTAGAGAGCTAGAATCTCATATTTCTGATCTTAGTATGTCTGTGGCCTAATGAGGTTCCTGGCACACAGGAGCTGCCCAGTTGGATTTACTGAGTGGAATTTCTCAATTTCCTTTCTAAACCAACCCATATTAAATTTGGTTTTCCTTAGAAAATATTTCCCTCAATAGATGTCATAAAGTTCATGCCAAAGCTTAAGGTTTTGGTGCATATTATTTGCAATATATAATGTTCTGTGAGAACAAGAAATAAAATTGGAGGATATCATTCATTGTGCTGATTAAACTAAAGGTTGGTGATCTTTATATGAGTTGAAGGTCTGAAATACTGTATCTCCAAAAATATACTTCTGAATAGTAGATTAAGTTCCAGAGATACTATGTGGTATATTATGAACTAAACTCAGATGAAGAAACAAAGCAAAATTAATGACTGGCATTAATTTTTATTGAGATTTATGAACTCTTATGACTGGCATTAATTTTTATTGAGATTTATGAACTCAATATTTTTTGAGCATCATTGTACAAAATAATATTTAATTTAGAAGTGATAAAACCTAACAATTTTATGGGATGCAATCTGAAAAGTAAAACTTCTGAAATAACAGCATTTATGACCAGAGTTAAGTGCTAGTCTTTTTTCTTCCTACTCTTTTTTCTTCCTACTCTTATTATTCGATGATTTTTAAAGTAGAACTATTTAGAATAAAATAAGCTTTATGCTTCAGTTTTTATTTGAAACAGATGAAAGTGTATACTTTTCTGAAATCTTAAGTTTGTGCAAACTATTTCAATGACTGTAGTCTGAATGTCAAATTGTTGGGCATGATGAATTAAATCTTTTTCAGTGATCATGAATAGCATTTTATATAAGGAAAAAATTGTACTTGGTAATACCTAAATTTTTAAAATAAAAGATATTTTTACAAAATTAGACAGTGATAAATATATGCAAATTAGTTTTTCTTAGCCCTAAAATGATGGGTTTGAACAAACTAACCCTAGTGGTATCCTGTTTTGTTTTCTTTACGTGTATGAGAATGATTAGTTCCCACATGAAAAAAAGGCATCCACTGCCCTGTTTTGATCAATTTTAATATCTTACTAATCATTAAAAATATTAATAAGATTATATAGAAAGGAGAGTTCAGTGCAATATAAACTAAAGTATTTGTCAGAATCTTAGAAGGTAATACAATCAAATTCTGCCTTCATTGTCTCCTAAATACTTATATATTGTTTTCACCTTAGGGTGTGTCTTCTCTATATCTGTCTCATGGTTTTTCATTTTGTCTACTTCAACATTTTTGTACCATTGATGTTTTTCTTCATTATAAAAACTGTTGAAGTAGACTACATAAGGATGTGTGATCGAAGGGAATTTGTGAAGGGTATAAGGGAGTTGGAACAGATCCTCTCTTAAGATTCCATCCCGTTCTAATAGTTTATGTTTATAAATTAGTTAGGGTTGGTATTGTTTATAAGAAAATAATTCTTTATTGTGTCATTGGAAGTTTTTTGCTCTTTATGTGTGAAGGAGGTTAACATGAAGGTTTATATATATGAAGCCTTGATTGTATTGCTGATGAACTGTCTACCCACTTTTCCTCTCTCTTGTGGGTGAAGCAGAAGCATATGTTGTATCAGTAATGGTATCAGTAAGTGGGGAACATCAAGTGAAGTTTGGGGGCTTCACTGGGAACTTCTACTCACTAGTGTTCAAATCAATAATGCCGGTTTTTATACCACTACTATTGTTTAAAGGTGAGCAAGCTTCTCATTCCCACTCTGTTTAATTCTTTAAAATCATTGGTAATACTTTCGTAAATTTTTGATATGTTGTGAAAATCAGTTAAATGTAACTTGCATGAAAATGCCCAGAATTAATTTAATTATTGAAATATTAATTGTAGAAGATCTTAGTAATGCATAAAAGAGAAATATCTGTTAAATTTTCAGTTATTTTCAAGATAATATAATTTAATGAATCTGTTTCTGTTCATATTTGACAGAAGTGGTTAAAATGAGTAAAAAGCCAGTTTTCGTTGTTCTTAAGTGGCTTGATTTATACCACTTTGTTGTGTATTTGTTCCTGAGACTCCCTCTAGTGTCTCGGTTTGAAAACATCATTCCGTTAACAGGCATTTGATGACAGTTACTGGGGCTTCCCTGGTTAGCTCAACTGGTAAAGAATCCACCTGCAATGCAGGAGACCCCAGTTAGATTCTTGGGTCAGGAGGATCCCCTGGAGAAGGGATAGGCTACCCAGCTACAGTATTCTTGGGCTTCCCTGGTTGCTCAGACGGTGAAGAATCCACCCGCAATGCGGCAGACCTGGGTTCAATGCCTAGGTCAGGAAGATCCCCTGAAGGAGGGCATGGCAACCCACTTGAGTATTCTTGCCTGGAGAACCCCCGTGACAGAGGGGAGCCTGCGGGCTGCAGTTCATGGGGTTGCAGAGTCAAGACCCGACCGACTGACTAAGCACAGCACAGTACTCTTCAGTTGAACAGATTTAAAAATACGTACTTTAAATACAAGATCGTATTTTTTAATTTTTATTTTGCTTACATGTTTAATTTGCTTTTAATAGGGGTAGGATAAGAATTGACTTAGGTGTAGATCTCATATCATTCAGGATTGTAGGGTTAAAATAAACTGTCCTACTACCAGTTTGAGTGTTATTTTTCATGTTCTGTATGAATGATTAGGGTGAAAATTATTTTGACACAAAATCACTTTCGGCCATTAGTGATTTGGGTACCTTGCTTTGATCAAAACAAGATGACCAAAATCACCAAATGGCAATTTCTTTGAAGATAACAGCATTTGACTTTATATGACAAACTTCTGAATACTTCATATACTAAACAGATATTAAAAGTATAATGAATTAAAAAACATCTCCAAATCAGCAGACTTCACCACCATTTAAATGATCTGGCTCATTTCTCCAGTAGAAGCATTACACTTTCCAGAGTAGTGTGTCTTGCGGTCATTTTAAATTTTCTTCTCACAAGTATGTGAAGTGAAACTAATGCCTTAATAAAACAAAGTAATATATTCTGATACTGTATACTTCATGATAATTACTTAAATCTAAATGGATTTAAGTAAGTATTGAACCAGAGCTCAAATATAGTGAATAATTATGAAAGTAGTATATACTGGCATGGCTTATATCAAATGTCTAGAAACTCAGGGATAATTAAGTATAAATACATATTCACACATATACACAAATAACATTTGTATTTTGGTGACAGAGCTATGCCAGTATGGAAAAACTGGTAGCAAATTAAGTTCTCAGGAAAAGCCATGTGTTAATACCTAAGTGTATGTAGGATTCTTTGCCATTGATTTCATTGCCTTTTGTAAAAATCAGTGTTCCTTTAATGTTACCAAAATATCCTTGAAGACATTTAAGAATCCTAAAAAATCTGATATATATATATGTCTAAAGAGAAATGTTAAGTATTCTTATTCTTTCTCAATTATTTCCACTAGTAATACATCTTTTCTGTTTTCTGTATACCTCAAACCATCATATATATTCACGTTTTAATACTTGTTATGTGTTTCAGGGTGTTGACGATGCCTTCTATACATTAGTTCGAGAAATTCGAAAACATAAAGAAAAGATGAGCAAAGATGGTAAAAAGAAGAAAAAGAAGTCAAAGACAAAGTGTATAATTATGTAAATACAATTTGTACTTTTTTCTTAAGGCATACTTAAGTAAAAGTGGTAATTTTTGTATATTACACTAAATTATTAGCATTTGTTTTAGCATTATCTAATTTTCTTTCTGCTCCATCCATACTGTTAGCTTTTATCTTGAATGCTTATTTTAAAATGACAGTGGAAACTTTTTTCCTCTAAGTGCCAGTATTCCCTGCGTTTTGGTTTTTGAACTAGCAATGCCTGTGAAAAAGAAACTGAACACCCAAGATTTCTGACTTGGGGTTTTTGGTGCATGCAGTTGATTACTTCCTATTTTTCTTATCAATTGTGAACTTTAGTGTGAAACAAATTAATGAGGCTTTCAAATCATCCCTATTGTATTGTTTTATCTAGTCACATACATGGATTAATTACTAATTATAACTTCATTTGAGATTTCACGATCGGTTTTACTGAAACATCGAGGGAACATGAATTTATGGGCTTCCTGTAGTTTCACCTTGTAGGTATCATTGTCCTATAGTTCCAGCTACCCTTAATGAATGTAAAGTTACACTGTTCACAAAGGTTTTCTTATTTCCACTGCTGTTTGTCAATGGTCACGTTCCCCAAAATACTATATTTTTTCTATAAAAAGGGAAAAAAATGGAAAAAAATACAAGGCAATGGATAATATTAAAAGGCCACTTACTTTCCACATTAGGTAAATTCCTATCATGCTCTGAATAGCTTTTTGTTAAGGCAGACCCAGTAGGTAATGAGGATTAGAACAAGCATTTTGGGACTATATTTACATGCTTTAAATTTTTGTAATAATTGAAAAAATTTTAACATGTATAAAGAATTCTCATAGGAATTAAATATAGTCTCCCTGTGTCAGATTGCTCTTTCTTAGCATAAATCTTTTTCTTGAACTTCAATCTTTGAAAGTAGTTTTAATTCTACTGGTAGTGATGTAAAAGATTAATTGGGCCAGTTAGCTTGGTAGGTGTTACAGAGAGCAGGGTGGCAAAGCCAGGCCTTGTGTGAACCTTTAAGCTACATGGAGAGTTTCACAGTGTGGACTGCATCCCTGTGGTCTTCCATTGTTGTCATGCCTTGGTTGGTCAAAAACAGGGACTTGCAGAGAGACTGAATAGCTCAGCAAGGTACATTCTCATTATGTCATAGTCCTACTCAGGAACATCACTTTTTTACAACAAAAAATCCAAAAAAACAGAACTTAAAAAAAAACATTGTTTTAAATGAGATTTTAGGTGGGGTGGCAAGATTTTAATTTTTTTTAAATGATGAAATGAAAAAATTTCAAAATCTTGAGTATTGGCTGGTTCTCTTAATGCTGGCTAAAGTAACATTTTGTAAACACTTCAGTACAGTCTGGTCCATTATTAAGAATATCTAATGCTTATACAATAGATAAAGTAATGCTAACAAAATGATTCTTTGAATGCATTTAAAATGTTAACTTATTTTAAAATATTTGAACTGAGATAGTGTGTTGAGGTGAAAGTATCACTGGACAAGGAGGAAGGTGACTTAGATTCTAAGTTATATGTCTTTGATTTTGGACAAATCACTTACTAGCCATTTCTTCATTTCTAAAGAAGTCATCTCAAAGGCTGTATCTAGCTTTATAACTATGATTTACATTCAGTTTACATAAGGATATACCTATTTGTCAGTCTCAGCACCATCTGTAACTTTTTACCTGTGTTATCATCTTCAGTGCCAGTCTTAGGCAAAATTGTGCAAGAGGTGAAGTTTATTTTTAAATATCGTTCTCTGCTTCCAGGACTTCTCCCATATTAGTGTTGTCTTGCCTGCCTACCTTACCCTTCTCTATGTCCCATGACTTGATGTTTTTTCTTTTAATATTTCTCATTTCTCTGATCTCAAGATTTATTGCTGCTTTGGATATCTCCATGATGGCCTCCCATCAAATCATATCAAAATGTCCTATATCATAAAATTCCTCAGGCTCAACATAATCTGACAGATACTATAATGGGATTTGACCTAATAGCTAATTTTCAGGTTGTGGCTGTAACAATTTAATTTTGATCCTCTGAACATCATCTCTTTGCTGCCTGGTCCATCAGTGACAAAGTAGGAGTTTCACACCTGCTATGAATAGTTAGAACCCTATCCCGTGGCAGGAGAATTTAATAAAAGTAGTGCTGAGAGAATTCCTTATGTAATTTACTAGGACTAGCCCTGCTAATAGTAATACATTCCGTTGTTTTAAAAACTAAAATCTTACCATGAAAGATACTTTAAAATTTAATTCATGTCTTACTCTTTAGCAGAAGTTGTTTATTCAGCAAATGTTTGAGTGCCTACTAGATGCCAGGCACTCCCCAAGGCACTGGGGATATTAGAGTACCCAAACATGGGACATAAGGCCTGTCCTTAAGTAGTGTTTATTTCTAGAGGGTCTGTATCTCAGAGAGGCATCTGTCATGTGACCCAGATACACCATAACGCATGCTGTAATCCTGCAAAAAAATGATCTGGTCTCTAAGCATAGTTTCTTCCAGTTCTAAAATAACTGTTTTGCTCTTATTCCAGCGTAGCTGTTTAGTCAAGCTCTTTTTTAATTAAATCAGTTTACTTCAATGTTTTAGAGGAGTAAATCTGATTTTTTTTTTAATTTGGCATAATTATGTGATTCTGTTGAGACAGTTATAGTACAAATTAAGTTGTATGTCAGATAATGTTAAAATCCCCCTGCGTGTGGTATGGTCTTTTTGTATAAGTAATTATAATAGATGTTAAAAATTAAATATTGAATTCTAAAATAGTTGTTTCTTCTGGGTAAAAATAAACAGATGCCTGAGCTAATTCCCAGAAAAGGAAACTTCTATGTAAAAATCAATATGGTTTCTGAGATGCTATATTAAACTACAGGCTTTTGGAACATTACGTAGGGAGTTAAGACTTGTTTTAGTACCTCCTCTTGTTTCTAAACAAGAGAAAGAAATGGCCATACTTCAGGAATTGCAGTGTATAACTGAGGTGATTTTTAGGACTCTTGAATTTTTGATGTAGCTGGGCAACTTTTTTATGGCAGTGGTAATTATCCTTTATTATGTGAATTTTGAATGGTTTAATAAAATGTTTGTTTTTGTGAGATTTTAAAAGGGGAGAGATAATCCTAGAAATAACATAAATGTTA